ACTGAAGTCCTGCCACCCAAGTTTGACCAAGAGGATTGGCAGAGCTGGCTTAACACTGTTAATGTTTTCTTCAATTCTTATAAAGTTGATACAATAATGCTGGACAAACCATTGCATGATCCTAGACCTTACGCTTGTGTACAAATCAATGATTTTAAGCTATTTGGCCTCTTAGATTCAGGCTCAGCTGTGTCCATTTTAGGTGATAAAGCTTATAGGAAGCTAGAGGAACGGGGTTTACAGCTGCATAGGGACAACTTAATTACAGTCACGGCTGCTGGGGGTCAATCTATGACCAGCATTGGCTATATGTTTCTCCCTATAAACTTTGAGAATGAGTACCATATAATTAAGTCATTTGTTGTGCCAGACATCAATATTGATCTCGTGTTGGGGATCGATTTTTGGCGCGAGTTTAACATTTTTCCTAGACATTTCTCAAGCATTACATTTTCTAATGCCGCAGTATTGAATGCTAGCCTTAGTACCGATTCTACCACTTTCATACAAGCGTATGACCACTTAACTGTTTCGGAGAGATCAGTGGCGGATGACATCATTTCACAATTTAGCGACATTTCCGCCGAACGTCGGGATTTGGGCGAGACGAGTTTGGTCACTCACCGTATTGATACGGGAGATGCTGAGCCAGTTCGTCAAAGGTACTATAGGTTGTCTCCAGAGAAGCAGCGGATCCTTGCCGAGCAGGTCGACGAGATGCTGGCTCTGGACGTAATTGAGCAGTGCGAAAGTGCTTGGTCATCACCAGTTCTCATTGTTACGAAGAAAAACGGTCAGCCTCGGTTTTGCCTCGACAGCCGCAAGCTCAATTCCATCACGAAGCGCGACGCCTATAGTCTACCCTACATTTCCGAGATCTTGGATAATCTTCGCGATGCTCGCTACTTATCTAGTATCGATTTATCCAAAGCCTTTTGGCAGATACCTATAGCACAGGAGGACCGGGACAAGACTGCTTTTTATGTGCCTAATCGCGGTACCTATCGTTTTAAGCGCACTGCTTTTGGTTTAACTAACGCCCCGGCTACACAGCAAAGGTTGGTTGATCTGTTATTTAGGGAATTTGACCTCAAAGTCTTTGCATACCTAGACGACATTATTATCGTCTCAAACGACTTCAATTCCCATGTTTCCCTGTTACTTCGGGTTCTTAATAAGCTGAAACAGGCCAACCTCACTGTAAACCTAGAGAAATGTCAATTCTTCCGCAGTCAGCTCAAATACCTGGGTTACGTCGTTGATAGTAGTGGTTTACGTACCGATCCTGAGAAGGTGGAAGCAATCCTCAATTACCCGACACCTACATGTCGTAAGGACGTTAAGCGCTTCCTCGGGACTGCTACTTGGTATCGTCGTTTCGTCCCCAATTTTAGTACCATTGCAGGCCCCTTAAACAAGTTAACTTCGAGTAAGAAGGGTGGACCACCTTTTGCCTGGTCTGCCGAAGCTGATGCTGCCTTCAAGAAACTTAAGGAGTGTTTAGTTTCCGCTCCTGTTCTTTCCTGCCCTGACTACGATAAGCCATTCGAAGTACACACCGATGCCAGCAATTACGGCGTGGGTGCGATGCTGACGCAGACTATAGATGGTAAGGAGCACCCCGTTGCTTATATGAGCAAGTCGTTGTCAGCAGCAGAGAGGAACTACAGTATAACGGAGCGTGAGACATTAGCTGTCGTCATCGCCCTGGAGCACTGGAGGTGTTACTTGGAGAACGGTAGGTCATTCACTGTCTATACTGATCACAGTGCGTTAAAATGGTTTCTGTCTCTCAGGAACCCTACCGGTAGATTAGCTCGCTGGGGTGTAAGATTGTCCTCATTTCATTTAGAATTCAAGCATCGTAAGGGTGTGGACAATGTGATCCCCGATGCCCTCTCTAGAGCTCTTCCCGTCTCGGCGATTAGTACTTCCGGTTCGAACATGGTGACATCGGATTCTTGGTACAAAAATATTTATAATTCTTGCCTTTCTAAGCCGCAAACTTTCCCGAATTTCATTATCAAGGATGGCAAGTTATTCAGGCGTGCCAAGAATAATCACTCACTTTCATCCGAGTTCTTATGGAAGGAGGTTGTACCTTTTGAGCTACGCGAGCAGGTGATCAACGAGAATCATGCGGAACCCACGGCTGGACATCTCGGCGTTTTTAAAACATACCATCGTATTGCCTTGCGCTACTTTTGGCCTGGTATGCACCAGGACGTGGTGAAGTTCGTTGCCTCCTGCGAGAAGTGCTTGTCTTACAAGGCTCAAAATCACCAAACCTTGGGAGCAATGGGCCGCCCGAAGCAGTGTTCTAGGCCATTTCAAATGATTTCAATTGATTTGATGGGCCCCTTGCCTGTCACTAGGAAGCAGAACACTTATATCATCGTAGTCACATGCTGCTTCTCGAAATATTGCCTAATTTTCCCATTAAGAAGTGCTACTGCCACTACAGTCACGAAGTTACTGGAAGAGTCTGTTTTCCTCGTCCATGGTGTCCCTAGACCATATTTTTGGACAATGGCGGCCAGTTTATTTCGAAGGTCACTGAGTCACTTTTCCATCGTTATAAGGTCCCTAACGTGTTCTTCACGCCAAAGTACACCCTTCAAATTAATTTGGTAGAACGACATAATCGTTCAATTATCACGTGTATCTCAACTTTCGTGGACAACGATCATCGCAGTTGGGATACATATATTCCGAAGGTTCAGTTCGCCCTCAACAATTCGGTGAGTGAGGCGACTGGTTTCACTCCATACTTCCTGGTGTTCGGCAGGGAGCTCGTTACATGTGGCTCGCATTATTTAGATAACGATTTAGGCGATGAGGTTTTATTCCTTCCCCGTGACATCTACGCGGAGGATTTGGGTTGTCTTAAGGAAGTTTTCGATACTGTAAAGGCCAAATTGTGGCATGTTCATGCTAAAAACTCAACCCACTATAACCTTCGGCGCAAGCCTATGGAATTTAACATTGGTGACACTGTAATGAAACGCGCATATGTTTTAAGTGATAAGGATAAGTTCTTTAGTAAAAAACTTGCGCCAAAATTTATTAAATGTCGCGTCATCGGTAAAAAGTCACCCCTAGTTTACATCCTGGCTGACATGTCTGGGAAAGATATTGGCACCTGGCACATCAAGGATTTGAAATTAACAGGACACAATACTTAGTCATATATGTATACACTTTTTTTTTTAAGTGTGTACTTCCCCGTGTGGTGTCGGGTTAGAATAGCACCACCCCATTTCTTCCTGTGGGTGTCGTAAAAGTCGACTAAGGGATAGGGTAGTAGTGTGTTGTGGGAGATGGGCTAGCAACCATCACTGCAATATCACAAGATCTCCATGTTACACCTACAAGTACACTTAATTAAGTTGCATGTGTTCTGCTTGTTACTTAGGAATACACTAGCGTTATATTTATATATATACATGGTGCTCGTTTTACCCTGGTCACACTTTTACGTCTTTAGCTCTAGGTATTCGTATGGGTCTTCCAGTCTAGCCGATGCTGGAACACCTTGCCAAATGACAGGATGCGTCAACTACCCTATTGATGTTCGTTGACGCTGATATAATCGCGTGAAGTATGAGAGATGTTGTATAAAAGGATAATGCGAATACACAACAATTTAGAGCGGATTTTATTAATTAAGAGTAATAAAATCCTTATGTAGCGCGCGGGGTACTGTAACGTTGCACGTACATGTATGCATAATTATAATTAAACGGTTTATTAAAATTAAATAAACATTTAATAAACTAAATAAAAATAAATTAAAAGTTATTAACAAAAATAATTCTATAATTAACTTAGGTATCCTATTAATAAAACAAATCAGTAAACTAAAAGAACGAATTAAATAATAAATCAAATATTAAAATATTGTATTTCGAACAAACACTCTGACGCTTCGTTACTCTATGCGCCTTGCAACTCTCGCGTCAGAGTCTTACCCGGCCGGTATTATTCCACGGCGTCGCGCTCCCGAAGATTCTCCGCCCGAGCGCCCTGGGAGGCGCACACTACCACTGCAGCCGCGTTCACAAGCTCTGCTTTGTGTCCTCGTACGCGCTTGCAAATTTTAATCCCATTTTGGAAAAAGTTTAAAATAATATAATAACTCCGGCACTGTGGCCGTATAGTTTTTTTCGTTAATTCTCGTCACCGAGACCTCCGTAACGTCTTGCACCCCGTAAGGGGTGCAATTTTACGACTACAACCGTGGCGGTCGTCCTTCTTAAGAGGGCCTAGGCCTCCCCTCGACGCCGCCACCGCCACAGCCAGCTGCCCACGGCGCTCCCCGTGAACAGTCCAACCCCCCGGCCCTGCTCGACCACCTCGCGGCCACATAGGGGAGTACCTGACCCTGCCAGTGAAGCCAGACGGGCACTTTTTTTAAATTATCGGAACCACGCCCACGACCTTTTCTTTTACCAATATATAATTTTTTTTATGACTGGTTGTTGCCTTATTTTAAACAACAACCGTCTCAATAAGTAGATAAGGACAAGGGAGCGCTAATGACGGTTGAGGCTCGCAGCGGATATCAATTAGATAAGAGTTAATTGATCTGCACATCTCCGGAACCGTGCATCCTACGCAAAAATGGACCGCAGATTCGTGATCAGAGCATGCCAAAACCTTTTTTTTTTTTTTTTTTTTTTTAGGATCGTGAGTCGACGAACGTCGTGCGCCAGAACTGGTACAACGTAACTACTGTCTCACTAGGTAAGTCAAACTTCGGCCGAGAGGTCACTCGACGGATTCAACTCGGCTGGGCAGCGTTCGGTAAATTACGACACATCTTCTCGTCAGGTATAACTCAAACCCTGACAACAAGACTGTACAACCAGTGCGTTTTGTCAGTGATGACTCACGGAACGGATTCGTTCTCGCGCTGCTGTGTGTGTCGGTTCTGTGGAAACACTATTCTATACGTTTGGTAACTACCCTCGTAAATAAAATTTCAATACGAAAAGAAAATGACTAAATGTGATATCTGTAACAAAGGGATAACCACAAAGGTACCCGGACTGGAATGCAGATCCTGTGGCAAGGTGGTTCATGCTAGTAAAGCTTGCTCTGGTCTCAACGCGAAGCAACTATCTGCGCTTCGTAATGCGGACAGACTAGACTGGACATGCGAAGAGTGCCATCAGAATACACCTAACAGAAAGTCATCCTTCATTATTCCAGAAGAAGACGATGAAGACAATGATGTCGCGGTCTCTGACAATAGCTCCGGCAATTGTATGATAGACACAGAGAAGTTTCTAAAAGATATAACAGCAGAAATGAAAAAAGTTTTAAAGAAAGAACTTCAACCAATCGAAGCATCAGTGAGCTTCTGTTGCACAAAAATTGATGATCTTTCCAAAATTGTCGAAGCTCAAAACAAACATATCCAGGAATTAGAAAAGAAGTACAACTACCTTCATAACGAAAAAACCCATCTTGAGCTTGAAATGAGCTCACTGAAACAATATCTACGTAATATTGAACAACAGCGTTTAGACAAAGTGATAGAAGTGATAGGTATTCCTAAAGCTAAAGATGAAAACCTTGTAAATATATCTCTCAAACTAGCTGAGACACTCAACATGGACAGGACGCAAGTAGTGAATATTACTCGTGTAGAAGGTCGAAATAACCAAGATGGAAACATCCAAGTACAGTTCAAACATGCAGAAAATGTAAGCTTATGGGTGCGAGCCTCGAAAAAGGAAGCAGTAGTGGTAGAACAAATCATCTCCGAGGCCCCTGTGGAAGTTGCTAAGACGAAAGTGATCATACGACGCGCCCTGACCAAAGCCAATAAGTCGTTATTATGGCTAGCACAACAAAAACTAAGACCGGCCTACAAATACGTCTGGTTCCAAGATGGAAAGGTGCTACTACGTAAAGACGACAAATCTAAGCCAAAGGTCGCGCGAAGCGAAGCTGACATTGAGAAGCTCTCAGCACTAACGGAAATAATCGGCCAAAGTTCCAAGCGGTAATAGATTTCAAAATTAGTAACCCAAGTCCTCTTTTCTGATCATGAAGAAATATTAAATTGTGCAGATATTAACAACTTTCGCTTGCATATACCCCCCTATTTATAAAATCTATCTTAATATTGTCCACATTAACATAAGATCTTTGATAAAAAATTTTTGCTATGTAACACAATTAATTAACTCTTCTAAAATGATTATTGATATTTTAATCTTAAGCGAAGTAAACATAAATAACAATATAGTTTCTATGTTTAATATTTATGGCTATAGAATGCACAGTATGTTGCGCAAAAATAGAAAAGGCGGTGGTATAATTCTATATGTTAGAGATGTTCACTCATTCGCGCCAGTAAGTCACTCGTTAATACACTGTGAGATTATTATCGGTAAGATCACTACGCCTTACAAATACTCCGCTTACATCTGTGCTGTCTATAGACCACCAAGTGAGAGTAAGCACCTATTTGTAAAGGAAATAAGTAGCCTATTATCAAAATCTATGTTTCAACTATGTGACACTTATCTCTTAGGCGACGTTAACATAGACTTAAAAACATGCGACAACATCCGAGACTACTACATTAGTAGTATGTCCGAGAGCGGTCTAACAAGCGCGATATCCGATTACACAAGAATTGAAATACGTGGTAAGGAAACAACTCGCAGTTGCATTGATCACATTTTTACTCGTACGCGCTCGTTAGATCTGTACTCGGCCGCGCTCGGAACTGTATTGGCTGACCATCGCATGATTATACTTTCGTGCGTAAGATTCGACCAAACACAAATACAGAGTGATACAAAAATAATCCAACAGATTGATAATCATAAAGTTAAAAGTTTACTTAATAATCTAGATTGGAGCGAAGTCAGAGATACAGAGTGTCCAAATAAAATTTACAATTGCATCAAAAATAAATTCAATGATTGTTACAATAATTCAAAATATATCAAAAAAAGTAATAAAATAAGTAATAGAAATAAAGACCCCTGGATAAATAGTAAAATTAATAGCATGTGTAAAAAGAAGGACGAATTATACATTAAATGGAAAAATGATCCCACGGACAAATTACTAAGATTAGAGTATAATAAATTAAGGAATAAGACACGTAAAATAATAGAAAAGTGTAAAAATAAATATTATATGGAACAAATAAATAGTAATAAAAGGAATCTTAGAAATCTATGGCAAATTTTGAATACACTATCTGGTCGAAACAAAAATTCAATGGATGAGGCAATATTAAAAACATTTAATAAAAATAATATTGACGCAAAATCAATAGCTAATAACTTTGCAAAAGAATTTAGAAATTGTGTTAAAAAAAATCCTGCCAAAATGTAACCAACGGCTTCTAAATGAATCAGAATATACGTTCCCCGAAAATAAATCTATGTATTTTAAAAGAGCCTCAAATGAAAGTGTGATGAAGATTGTAAGAAACCTTAAAATCAATAAAGCTCCTGGTGTGGATAATATACGATGTATTGACATACAATCTATCTGTGATAAGATGGTAGGAATTATTGTTAAATTAATAAATAATAGCATAGGCCAAGCAAAGTATCCAGATGAATTAAAAATAGGTATAGTGAGACCGATATATAAAAAAGGTAGTCACAGTGATTATGCCAACTATAGACCAATTACTATCCTACCAGTCATTGACAAGATAGTAGAAAAATATGTTTGTAATCAGATACAAGACTTCTACAATAAAAATGACATCCTATCAAATTCACAATACGGCTTTCAACCTAACAAATCTACCTCTAAACTGCTGTCAAAATTTACAAATGATGTAAACAAATATCTAGATGACAGAAACCACGTAATTCTGTTATTCATAGACTTCAGCAAAGCATTTGATACGCTTCGACACGATATTCTCTTAAATAAACTAGAGAATACCGGTGTACGCGGCCCAATTTTAGATTGGTTCAAAGATTACCTCAATAATCGCATATATAAAGTTAAAATTTGTGATGAAGTCAGCGACGCTATAGATGTTACTGAAGGAACAGCTCAAGGGTCGGTGCTTGGACCCTTGCACTATTTAGCATACGTCAACGATATGGAATATATTGTCAACCATTGTTCCGTTTATCAATACGCAGATGACACGTGCCTTTTGGTGGCCAGCAAAGATCTAAAAGAAGCTGCTAAATGGCTGCAGCAGGATTTTACACAGGTATCCAAATGGTCACATGATGCGGGACTTGTCTTGAATGCAAATAAAACCAAAGTGATTCACGTTCACTCAAGCTATCTAAAACACAACACGTATTTTAAGATCATTGCTCACAGTCACAGATGTCTGCACAAATCAACTTCATCTTGCGCTTCAACTAACGCTTGTAAATGTGAGGCAATAGAACAAGTAACGCATCACACTTACTTAGGACTAATTATAGACAATAGATTTAGCTGGAGATTTCACATAGATTCTCTCTGTGAGAAGTTACGAGCTATACTGGCTAAATTCTATATCTTAAAGCCTAAAGTACCGTATAAAGTCCTGCTGAATATATATAAAGCCTTAGCTGAGTCAATTATATCATACGGAATCTCAAGTTATGGACGAACATTTAAGTCATATACTGAAAAAATATATAAACTACAGCTAAGATTACTTAAACTTATTGTACCCCAAAAAATAATACAACAATATAAAGAAAACGTATTAGACATTTTTAATTACTGTAATATTTTACCAATGCATATGAAACTTCACATGACCCTATTAATTGAACAATTCAACAATAAAAGCATCCAAATACCAGTATCTCATACAGTAATTACAAGAAATATTACTAAACAAAAATTAATTGTGCCTAGGATCTCAAATTACTATGGTAGGCGAACTATTGAATTTTTAATCCCAACTTTTATAAACAACATCCCGCAAAACATTCAAAAAAGATTTAAACACAAAAAACTATAAACATAAACTCAAAAAATATTATTACAATAATATAAAGAACATCGTCTTATAACATCATTTAGAATCATAGTTATAATTTAGTTTGTATAATAGTGAAACAGCCTGTATAAAGTTAAGAAGACTGCGCTGCCTAATAGAACCGGTTCGTCGAATAGTCCCAGGTGAGAATTGCAAATGGGTGCTTACCACTTACAAGATAAAGAAGGCGTATTTATTTATATGTAAAGCAGTGCGTTAGTTACGAATGTGAGTACCAATACAAACCACTATTGGTTTAATGGTACAAATCAAGCAAATATGTAAGAATACTTTTGATAAATAATAAATAAAAAAAAAAAATAAAAAAAAAATAACTGAGACGTGGTCCTTCAGTGCTGACATACATTTGTTTATTCTTAAATTTCATTCCTAATAATACACAATTTCATCTTATTTTACATGTATAAAAATATGAATTGTAACATTTATTTGCTACAAAATTAAACTTTTAACTATCTTATGCTTATATAAGATGGTTGAAAATTATCATATTAAATAAATCATTTCTCATGAAATCTTTTGAAGTGTTATTTTTAGTAAACTCTACAAAATGATATTTTTAACTCATAGATGTAACAAATAAATATAATAAAATAAAATGTAAAATAATTTTTAATTTAGGTAACAATATTAAAATAAAAAACCCGTAAATAATAAATACTCCTCATACTCTGCAGTCTGCATTGTTAATTCGATTCGCCTGTTTATTCAGATCATTCGGGATTCGGTCTGTTTGCGGCTCATTCACAATTCAAACAAATCGCGGGTTAAAAAGGTACCGTCAATTGTTTGTGATTGGTTGTACTGGTACATTCAAAAACAAATGAATGAACCATCAATACTTTTAAGTGTACCAGCTCAAACGAACGAATCATGCATGATTGACACATGTCTAGCTACCGCATTTCGCCGCCATCTAAACGTCTTTGTCGAGCTGTAGAGTGTAGAGTCGCCTTACTTAATTAGTAAATAGATGAGATAAAAATATCAATTCGTACTGTTTAATAAAAATAACAACACTTTAAAAGATTTGACGACAAATGATTTATTTAATATGATAATTTTCAACCACAAATATTAGATTTTATAGCAAATATTTGATACGTTCCTTATTTTTAGATAAGTGAAGCCTAAATTTTAATGTAAGAAATAGAAAGAACACTTGTACTGATGTTGTTATAGAATATTTTCCTTTTTTGAAATGAAAGTATAGGAAAGAAACATTAAAGTTTACATTCTCCTAAGAAATTATCGTCCACGCTTTGAAATCTGTCAAATATTTTACCTCTTTGTAAAGTGGCGCCGTACTGGTGGCAGAAAAATTCATGGATTTCATTAATGACATATTATTTGATTTTTACCAATTAACTTTAATAAATATAAGATCATAGCAGAAAAATGTTTTTGGCATTCACTTTTATTTACTTTCCATTAGGGCCACAAATTCTGTGTGGCCGAAGATGGCGTTGGTCCTGCCCACGGTGTTGTAACTTAGGTGTCCTTCTTAGCCTGGTCATGAAGGACGACGACAGGGCCTTCCGACGGGGCCCGTGCACAGGGGGCCCCCGTGACGAAATGCATCGGCCTTATTCGCTTACGCTATACAATCTACTTTCTATTTTAGGAAAATATAACCCAACAAAAAATTATAGATAAATGAGGGCGTTGTTAGTGACTTTCTGGCAATTCTGAGCAGTGACAAGCCTGCTGCATTGCCGAGTTAGCCAAAGTGGCATTGACAGATTTCATAAATAGAAAATATGTAGTTCCGCGTATCGCCGCCATCTAAACGTTTTTGTTGGGCTGTACCTTACTTATAGCCTGGATGTTTTTAAAATATTCGGCAATCTATGTATTTATAATTATAATCTATGAGATAAAAATATAATTTCGTACTGTTTAGTAAAAATAACACTTCAAAAGATTTAACGACAAATGATTTATTTAATATGATAAGTTTCAACCACAAATATTAGATTTTATAGCAAATAATTGTTACGATCCTTATTTTTAGACAAATGAAACCTAAATTAATATTATTGTAATAAATAAAAAGAATACACGTATGATGTAATTATAGATTATTTTCTTTTTTTGGAATAAAGTTTAGGAAAGAAACATTAAAGTTTACATTTTCGTAAGAAATTATAGTCCCCGCTTTGAAATCTGTCAAATATTTTACCTCATTGTAAAGTGGCGCCGCCCTGGTGGCAGAAAAAGTCATGGATGCCGTCATTAATGACAAATTATTTGATTTTTACCATTTAACTATAATAAATATAAGATCATAGCAGAAAAATGTTTTTGTCATTCATTTCTTTTCCAACAGGACCCCAAATTCTTGTGTGCCCAAGGGCTCCAATATGGCCTAAGGCGGCGTTGGTTGTGAATAGAGTTTCAGTTGAGTTTGTACGGTTGTGTTGAATTGCAGAGCCGCTATATATACGTCTTATTGGGTTGTTATGGTGGCGTCGAACTGGAGGTCCTCCAGTTCTCTTCGGAAGCGGGTCCAGTTCGTCTTCATTCTTAACGCTCTGTGCACTACAGTGCCTGCACTTGTGTCGATGGTGAACAAAACGGGGAGGTGCTGTGCGTCCAGATCGTACAGCACCTCTAGCCGTATTGGGTACGGCATTTGATGACAAAGCACTATGTTGATGACAGCGGGCTATTGTTCAGGTTTGGTAGGGATGTGAGTGGGCTCATCTGGGCCCAACACCTCGTATCACCAATCTTCGGCGTCGTCGAGCACTTCTTCCCAGGAGGAGTGAGTATCATGGAGCCCCAAGCAGGATGTTTCGCATTGAAGTCTCCAGCGATAATTGTAGGTGTTGTTGCATCAAAAATCGTCTTTATGTCTTGGGGGGCAAACGAGGTGCCGGGAGATCTATAGACGGCGTAGATTCGCATCTCCTTGGGTCCCACCTTCATCCTTATCCCTTTTGTCCTCGTGGATGTGAAGCTCTCGTCTGTGTTCACCTCTTCGTGTATGACGTCTCTTCTGACTACTCCATACGCGACACCTTCGGAGAACACCTCATCATGTCGATATACACGAAGAAGTTGGAAACAATCAGTTTGCGGAGGGGCGCAGCTTTGTCTCTCCAATTTGTACAATCTGGATGTTATACTGCTGGACCAGCTTTCGGAGTTCAGCGGCCTTTCCAGTAATGCCACCGGGGTTCCAGTAAAGTACTCTAAGCTCTCGGGCCTCTGTTAGTAGCTGAAAGTTGAGTTAAGGAGTTTAATATCGCCGTTAATGGATTTGAACTCGTAGTCATTGCGGTAAGGACTTCTCGTAGTATCCTTATCACCACACCCACCAATTTCGGGCTTATTCAATGGTGGTTGATAAGTGGGTTTGTGGTAAGGGTGTGGTGACTGTTGCAGTCCTTCTTTGGGGTTGTTCTGGGGATTGATTTTCGTTAGTATGCTTTTGGGCTTGTCTCTCATAGCGCGGCTGTTGCTGCTGCTGTTGTATGGTGGAAGCGGAGGGGGGGGAACGGGATCGATGTTCCTCTCATTGCCTGTACCTGAGTGGCTGCCTTCTTTGTCGTTTGCTGCTGTTGTTGTTGCTGTTGTTGAGGTTGTTGTTGTTGTTGCTGTGGTGGTCGTAGCGATCTTCATGTTTCTTGCGGGGGCATAGATGGTTGCTAGCTGATGCCCCTCTTCCTTGCTATCTTCTTTAGCACTTGGTACCGTCTGTCGTTAGCCGCATGATCCATAGCGCAGTTGGCACACTTGGGTTGTGCATCACCCGCGCAGCGGATACATTTGAAGGTGTGGTAGCAGTTTACTGACGCGTACCCGAATCCCTGGTACCTGTGACAATGCGCAGGGCCTATTCTGGCCTACCAGCCCTCTATGGAAACCCCCGGCATCTAAAGAAGCTCGTCGGTATCTCGTACAATCTGCTTAGCTCTTCCGGGGTGAGATGGTTCATTTTAATGTGGTATAAAGCATCAAGGCCTGTCCCTTTTGGGTGGGATAGCCCGCACGAATGTTACTGGAAACACCATTTCGATAAGGGCCTCCTGGATGTCTTGGCAGTAGTCTGTATCGGCAGGGGGCATTTTTAACCCCTTCTTCGTGGGTTGCTCCTCACGCGGCGTATAACAGTACCACGCCAAGGTGGCGTCTTCCTTGCTTCTTTCAACTAAATATTTCTGGATGGTACTACATTTTGATCGGTTTGGGTCCGGAATCATACCCCCTTCCCAAATGGGCGAGCGTTCGGTGCGTGTCATAATAAATTGGTGCATAGTATATAAATGACTCGCGAATCATCCTTGGAAGGAATCGGTGTTCTTTAGCGAGGATTTGTGGTCTATCAATTCTGATGTAGTGACGGGGGGCGGTCCTGTACGTGTTCACAGCAATGGCGAAGCTTCCATTAAAGCCGAAAAGCCGGGCTTGCCTTATTAAACCTGAATCAATCAATAATATCAACTAATAAAATAACTCGTAAAATGTTTCAAGCTATTTCGAATTTCCCGGGCACTCCACTGTTCGACACATGTCGACCGATGATATCGTATTGCCTTAGCGATACTGCTGCTGTCACAAAAAATGAGTTTTAATAGAGCTAATAGTTGTTTCCCTCGTTCGCGTGGGCTTTTTACGGGGTTTTCGAGAAGACGATCACTCTCTTTCTAACCTATGGCAAAATATTCTATAATGAAATATAACTACGATTGTATATATAGCAATTAGTATAGAGATTTAAAGCCAGGCTTTTGGGAATAAATTTGTTAAAAGCGGAGGCGCGCGGGCAATACGTTTGCAAGTTCATTTCACGTGTTAATGTTTATTTACTCTGTGTGCTTATCTTAAGCGATTTAATATTACGAGTTCAAAATTTATGCTTTTTTAAAGATTTTTAATGAAAATGGAGGATAATAGTGTTCCTTGTGATGAATTGAAGTGTGTTAAAATGATAATTGGAGAGGAAATCTTTAAACTTTGTTGAGATAATACACAAGGTTAAGAGTGTATTTCAGACCTATCAATTATCGCAATTAAAAACAGTTATTGGTACAATTAAAACGTTCACCTACGTGTGCAAAATCACCAAATTTGTATGGGTTACCAAAAATACACAAGTCCAATGCTCCATTACGTCCCATAGTGAGCCAAATCGATTAACCAACTTACAGATTGGCTCAACACTTAGCGAAAATACTCTCACAGACAATGAAACTATGGTCAGTTTTGATGTGCAGTCATTGTTTACATGCTTAACTGTTGAAGACTGCATCTCAATTGTAACTAGAAGGCTGGAAGAAAACAAAATGCCCGTAGAATACGCAGTATTACTCAGACTCTGCCTTACATCTGGCTACCTATTGTGGAAGGAGGAGTTCTACAAGCAAGTAGATGGTGTGGCGATGGGCTCACCTGTATCTCCCATTGTCGCCGACATATTCATGGAAGACTTTGAGGAGAAAGCCCTGCTTACTTCTCCCATAAATCCAAGATTCTACAAGCGGTACGTAGACGACACTTTCACTATTCTACCTTTAGATAAAGTAACTGCATTTTTAGACCATCTCAACTCTATAAATCCTAAAATTCAGTTCACAATGGAGTTAGAGGCAAATAATTCTTTAGCTTTTTTAGATGTGTTAGTAATTCGGAATCCTGATAACACCTTGAGCCATACTGTGTATAGAAAAAAGACCCATACAGATAGATATTTAAACGGTGATTCTCACCACCATCCTTCACAGTTAGCTACCGTGGGTAAACCTTTGTTTCATAGAGCACGAGGTATCTGCGACAGTAAACACCTGGCTGCCGAGCTCCACCATGTCAAGCAAGTTTTGCATGACAACAAGCTTCGGGTCCCGCGCCTACGTCACAGTGAACGAGTGAAGCCGGCCACAGTCGAGCGTGTACCTGCTGTACTGCCTTATGTTAGAGGAGTCACTGAAAAGATTGGCTACATCTTGAAGCGCATCCGACAACATACTTCAAGCCGCCGAAGAATATTTGTCAGTTTTTACCATCAATCAAGTGTAACGTCCCTCTGCAAGATGCAGGAGTGTACAAGATTGATTGTGAGTGTCTCTCCTACATAGGACAAACTAAAAGATCAATTAAAACCCGCGTTAAAGAACATATAGCTGATGTGAAGAATAGACGCTCCGGGAAGTCTGCAGTCTGCGAACACTTACAGGATCGCCCCCGTCACTACATCAGATTCAATAGACCATAAATCCTCGCTAAAGTACACCGATTCCTTCCAAGGATGATTCGCGAGGCTATTGAAATCAAAAACATCCTAATTTCAATATAGAAGATGGCTGGGTGCTACCATCTGCTGGGGATCCTATAATAAATAAAATTAAATCCCAACCCGAGCATACAACTGCAAGACTTCAAGATGCCATAAGTTCATACTGTGTAGATCGGAACAAAAGTTAAATTTTTATCTATGGTAACCGCTGTTAACTATGACATTTAGACGTTGAACATCTCAGTCCTCCCCGTGACCATGGGTACTGTAAAGCGCTCGAAACGTCGGGTATTTATAGTTAAATATACAAGATAAAATCCGTTAAAACTAGTATTATTTCAACGAATAACAATAACCTGACATTACTGTTCACGACAAAATCAATAAAACAGTTTACCTGATAGATATCTTAGCAATACCAAACTCACATAACATACAAACTACAATAGCCGAAAATACTAAGTAAATATCAAGAACTTGTCATAGAAATTAAAACTCAATGGAAAGCACAAAATGTACACATCGTCCCGATAGTTCTCTCATCCATCGGTATTATACCAAAGTCACTCTCACAAAGCCTTAACACTCTACACATGCCTACTCATACACTTCACATATTCCAAAAAGCCACCATCCTCAACACTTGCGGCATCACCTTTCCCTCACACTTGGCTCCGGCCCGTGTGTGTGGTGTTTCAAACTCTCAAAGAAGAGAAGAAACATAAAAAATTCATATAATAATAATATTAATAAACCATTTATTTCGGGACAACTTGTACATCCATATTGTGCTAGTAAAACATGGCTTGTAAACTATGTTAGTATTTTATTAATTGGGATTAAAAAATTATACTTGTTACAATAAATTACCTACAATTATATTTGTTACTAAAAGGAAAGGGTATGTTCCCGTGATCATCACTCTTTGCACAAAGCATTTCCAGATCTGTTATGTAAATCTGTTTCCTAATGTCTTCAGGATGCTATTGGAACTGTTCCTCACGCCATCAGTTTGGTATTCCGCAAACATCCCTTGCACTGCAAAAACGCGGCAGGCCCAACATCATCTTGAAGACATTGTTATACTGGATTCGAAGAGTGTCTAGCGATAATAGTGTCTACATGCTTTGGCAGTACGCTTTAAATAGCGTCACTTTAACCTCTTCCTGTAATGTGACAAAATCTGCGAGCCAACAAGTTACCTCTAACCGCTAGAGCCCTTCGTTGCCTTTCAATATCATCTTCGTCTTTGAGCCTGCTAGTGATGACATGCCCCAGATATTTAAATTAAGTCACACGTTTGATATTCACGCCATTAAGGGTGATATTTGTTGTATTATTGAGACATTTACCATAAATTCCGTCTTTTTCACATTGTATATAAGCCCGTGCACAACAGCATACGCCTCACAGACATTCAACATCTCCCTCAGACCACCCACCATGGGGCTAAGCAGCACCATATCGTATGCGTAGCTTATGCTGTTTACACTGATGCCATCAATCCGATACCCAACACGCATGCTGCTCAGCTCCACGGTGAGATCGTTTACATATACGTGGAAGAGCCGGAGAGACGACAGTCCCTCCTGTCTCACCCCGCACTCCAACACATACGATTCCGAAAGAGAGTCTGCCCATCTCACAAGGTTGGTCTGATTGGCATACCAATACTTTAATATATTCAGGACTCCAACCGGATTGGTGAAAGGGGTGTATTTCACCAAGCTTCCTCCAAAGTAAGTCATATGACACAAGGTTAAAAGCCTTAGAGTGGTCAAGGAAACAGGCATACACCGGGGTTCCGCAATCAGTGAATAACGGACGGTATGCTTGACACTTACGATGGCGCTTTCAGTGGATAGTCCGTGACGAAACCTGAACTACGCGTCGTGTACATTTAAATGACTTTGCAAGCAAGAGTCGAGCAGACCGTCCAGTACCTTAGCAATGGTTGTTGCTAGTAAGACGGGGCGGTAGTTTCCCATGTCCGAGACATCTCCTGTCCTGTTCTTCACAATTGGCACCATAACGGTTTTCATTAGGTCACGTGGCAAGTGTGAATGACTTATGCACAGTGTAAAAAACATAAACATAGACATACCCTCGGCAAGTGAACCCCCGCATGTCTTAGGTGTTCAACACTGAGTCCGTCGTGCCCTGGAGATTTTCCACCAGTCATCTTCTTTAATATATGCCTAATTTCCTTTGCAGTGATATGTACTGGCGGTCCACCCCCTAAGCAACCGGGCATAGAATTAATAGACACGGTTGTGGAGCACAGTGGCGAGTGCACTCTGAAATGATCTCTAAATATTATGTTGGCTATATCAGTAGGGTCATTAATCCCGTCCACACTCACCAGGTCTACCCTCTAGTTTTTCTGTAG